TTTTTTTTGAGGCGCGGCCGAAGGCCGCCCACGCAAAAAGGAGTTCTGCGCGAAAAAAATTTGGTACACCCCGGTGTTGGACCGACCAGAGTTATTTTTTTTGAAGCGCAGCCAAAGGCCGCCCAAGCAAAAAGGAGTTCTACGCGAAGAAGTAGCAATGTCATAAAGGGTATAACAACCACTCTAATTAATGCGATCTAACGGATATAAGTGCTGCTTTTAAAGCAAAGTACCGTTGCTTTTTTTTGTTATTTTCATAATTACTTCGAATTTTGAAAATAAGCTGTGTGGACATAGTTAATATAATTTCTATTAAAATTATTCAAATATTTTTGAAGAAAATGGAAAATAATTTATCAGGTATGATACATTAAATACTGAAAATAATATTTAAATCATTTTTCTAATACTTTGTTACAATTATACATATGTATGTAGATTTGCAAGAAGATGCGATTATTCGTGCTCGTAAAACGAACAAATTGAGCGTGTCGGAGGTGAAAGGTATGCGGAACATTTCCAAAATATTCCAGACCTTCCAATCGAGGGAGAGTTGTATTTCTTTTTGCGAAGAGGAGGGTTTAATTGCTAGGGAAAGAACTTGCAGGGTGCATAGACTGCCGATGGTGCTCTCCGTGATGGGAAATAGCACCGTCGGTATGTTTAGGTGCCGAAAAGGATCGTGCCGAACGCGTTCGGCGATATCCCGATCTATGGGCACCTGGTTGGAAAATGTAAAACTTTTCACATATGTCGGAAACAAAAGTGCTCCTTTCCTAATATATCCTTTTCTAACGTTGATCTCCCACATACTAATAAATTAAGAATCTTAGGACTTATATTAGAGAACAAATTAACTTTCAAAGAGCATTGTAAATATGCTAGAGTAAGTCTTTTTTCTAGATTGAATATAATTAAACTCTTATCATCTAAATACTGCTTAGTACATAATATTCTTGTCAATATAACAAAAGCTTTAATATTATCTAAAATTGACTTCGGACTTTGTATTTACGGACATTGGGCTAATACAAACATTAAGCTCTTGAACGCACCCTACCACGCAGCAGTCAGAAGAAGCATTCGCGCCTTCCCAACGTCACCAATTAAGGCAATTCTATCAGAAGCTGGATTACCACATATAAACTACCGGACCATGCGAAACACGATGATGCTTATACCGAGGCTACTTCACTGCAGAAGTGAATTAATTTTTTCGCAAATCAATTGTTCTATACGAAATCTTAAGACTAGTCGTAAGCCGTCTACTATTATGAGTTGCTTAAGTCTAATTCAACAGCTGAACATCGTAACCACCCCATCAGCTCTTAAAACTTCAGAGTATTTTCCAAGTGCGCTTCCAAATTCATCACTCATCAACACCCTACTTAAGTACCCAAAATATTCTACCAGCAGTAATGAGTACAAACAAATGTTTAATGCGGTATTAGAGTCCTTAAATGATGATTGGAACGTGTATTATACGGACGGATCCAAGTCAAACACCAGCACAACGTTTGCTGTGACAAACCAGCTAGGTGGTACTATTATGGTCGGTTCCATGCCATCCTACTGCTCGGTATTTACTGCCGAAGCAGCCGCAATATTTAAGGCAGTACAATTTGCTTCCCGAATGGGAAATAAATGCATTATATGTACCGACAGTAGATCTGCAATTAAAGCTATATTTAATACCAATAATGAACCTTTAATACCCAATATTCGTAGCATGCTATTGCAAAGCAATAACTGTATAAAAATAATAAGCCATATCGGAATTTATGGCAATGAAATTGCCGATAAAAAAGCTAAAGAAGCTTCCAAACAACCACTTCACTTCTTTGACTATTTCACCGATAAATATATACGCAGACTTGTTGAAACACACGTAAATGAAATCCAAGTAAGAGAATGGAGTAATCACGATCACCACTACAAAAAATCTAATCCTGCGGTTCTGCGGATCAAATGATCTCACAGTTGTACACCTCCTCGATACCTGCCCGGCACTTCAACGACCACTTCTCACAAAAAACCTTCTTTATATCTAGAACGGACTGATGACGGTAACATAAAAATCATATCTAAATATATTTCGCTTTGCAAATTAAATATATAGTTTAGTTTCATACATGCACCCATTTACCTTTGCTTTGAAATTTATCTTTTTTATTGTATCTAAATTTACGTTATACAAATCGATCTCAAATGTGAATACAATAGACCAAGATTTTATAACATAAGCTGAAGGCCCTGGCAGCCAGTKCTTTATATCTATAAGTGGAACGATTATTTATAATTATTTCTCTTTTAAATAAATAAATAAATAAAAATAAATTGTTGTATAAGTCTAGTTTCGAATGGTGGTGCCACCTCGTAAAAAGCCCACACACCTATTAATTTACAGAAACAAGATCCGAAAAAGCATGATTATACATAGAAACATCCACAAATACGAATACGTACCTGTGTAGATTAAATACGCGAATTTGGAAAGGAGGTTCTAAAATTAACGCAAAACGCTTTTGATAATTTTGTAAAATTTACGTTTCAGATTCTTACTGGTGAAGATTGGAATGTGGTTATGTATGACGGAATACTTGCTTACGGAGGAATAAAAACATTTGGTGCATTGGCATGCATCTATTTTATAATTTTATTCATATGCGGCAATTATATTTTGTTGAACGTTTTCTTAGCTATTGCTGTTGATAATCTTGCTGATGCAGATTCTTTAACAACAATCGAAAAGGAAGAAGAAATTGATGATGGTAAAAATAACAAATCACACAGCCCCACTCCAACTATTGAAGGTGCAGAAGAGGAAAATATAAATATAGAAATGGATTTGGATGGACATTGTATTGAAATAGAAAAATTGTAAGTTCAACTTTGTGGAGTTTTTGACTCCTGGCGGTATACAGCCATTTTACTAAGTTTCTGAGTATTTAAATACTTTCTCCGAAATATAATATCAGGGATGAGGATCCTTCTGAAGGTGAAGAGGACGAAATATGCGATGAGGAACTGGAAGGTAAGTCTTCAATGAATGTGCATTAAATGGTTGGTTTTTTAAGTATTACATTTAATTAAGATATTAAATAGTATAATTCTAAAATGTGGTTTAAGGAAATATATATATTTTAAGACATTATTTTAAAACACGTTTGTACAAATAGTTATACAATTAGATGTACATGTATAAGTTAGGGCCATAAATGCTTTCCCAAGTAACTTTTATAAAATTTAAACGCTGCTTACCCTATTCATTGTCATTAAAATCCTTAACAATGTTTAGAATCCCGTTCCGAAGTAACACCTAGAGCAACTGCACGACCTCGACGTCTCTCTGAAATCAGCATTAAGAAGACTAAAAAACCAATGCCAAGAGGAAGTTCATTTTTTATATTTAGTAACACAAACAGGTAATTAGAACCACACAAGCATAAAGTAATTAAAATTTTTTTCTTTTCATGTGTTGTAGCATACCTATTCCAATACATTAACACACTTAAATTAAGTGTTGCAAAAATAAAACGAACTAATACATAACATTGCTTCAATTCTACTGTACGAATAATTTTAACATATTGAACATATTACATCAAAATTTCACGTTGAGATTGTGTTTATATAAATTATACATTCTAAAATCAATGAATTTACTTATATCAACACTTAATTCCACATTTCAACTAAAGTATTCCGGCTCTTTTTTTTTTGGGAATTTTTGGGAAACATACTTTGCGAACTAATGTCCAAGGATAGTTGTGTTGTCAACACAATAGGGGTATTCTCTTGCTCTTGCAAAACCTTGCACGGTGCATGCATTGCAGATATTTGATCTTGGTGCACCGGCACAACAACAAACACACGCAGAAAATTATTTGCAATGGCTGCGAAATATGCTAGACCAAAACCCATGTTTATTCTCGTGTAATGATATGTAAAAAAATAATTGTCAGCCTGTGCTAGCTGTCATTTTACTTAAATACATATTTTCACGTTAAATTGTTGAGGAAGGTAAATTTTAAATAGATTTTATAATTTCTGTTTAAATTATAAAGATTTGGTATACTTTTTTTTGTTAAGAATGATTGCAGAAGGTGCGCCAATTCACAATAGCCATGCAAAATAGTCATTTAGAATAAATTGACCGAATCAGCCGTTCATATATCACTAGATTCTGCAATTGTTGCTCTCGTGCCCTTGTATATTTCGGTATAAGATTTTTGAAATCTGCAATCTTGCAAGAGCAAGAGAATACTCCTAATGTCAATATTTTTGTGCTTCTTTTAAATACTAGGTATAATGTTCTCGTAAAATTAATTAGTTATAAGTTAAGTATTCCTGACAAAATTTCGTTCAATTATGGACTAAATTAAGTTATATTTGTATATACCCTGCCGTAAAACAAACCAAATAAAGTCATATTACACTAAGATTAAAAGAAATTAAATTATTCAAGTTTCATAAAGTTTTGGTTTGTATGTATAATATTGCTATTTAATATAACTTTATTTCCTATCTAAATAGATATTTATTACTTTTTTATTTGCTATTCCAAATTATATAATATTTTTTTTTTCAAAAATGGTTTGATTGCAAACAACTTTGGAATAACATCTAAAACTTCGAACACTAAACCATTTAAATACATAAATGCGAAGAAGACGATGAAGATGTGAATACAGCCAGACCAAGACGCATGTCTGAAGTCAATACAGCTACAAAAATTCAGCCCATTCCAGAGGGTTCGTCTTTCTTCATAATGTCTCAAACAAACAGGTTTTTAAATTATTTATTGATTTTTCTTTATGTTGCTTTGTTGTTCTTAACACAGGATATAGGATTATAGCTTGCAAATTTCAATCATGGTTTGACAAAATTGCAAAAAGACCAGCCTTCTAGCCTTAGCTAAGCGTATAATATAATTTTTTTTGAAGGTAATAAGTTTTTTTGTCGCTTCCGTCACTTAACCGTGAGCTTGTCTACTAAATAGGTCAAAATTTCATTTCAAGTATGTACCTATTGAAAACCTATGTGTCTTGAGTTGAATTTGTTTAAAAATAATATTTGAGGATTTGAATGCAATCAATGTAAAGAATACAAAGAAGGGTATCATTTATTAGTTGCATGTTATACATATGTATTTACAACTATAAGTCTTATATATGGTATTTAACACACTTTCCTACACGCAGAACAAAGAAATAACTTAATGCACCTCTTAAAGACTTACCGATTTTTTTCTGAATTGAACAGGTTTCGTGTATTTTGTCACTGGCTTTGTAATCACAGCAACTTTGGAAATGTTATATTGTGCTGTATTATGTTCTCATCGGCAATGTTGGCAGCAGAGGACCCACTACGCCCAAACGCCGACCGCAACAAGGTATGATAAAAGTATTGATATTAAAATATAAGTTGGTTTTATGGTCTGAATCTGATTGAAATACGATTCACCTTAACTGCTTTCAATATACTACATTGGAAAACATTTAGATACAATCACGTTAACTTTTTTCTCGACTAAAATACATAGTCTTAAATCAAAAACAAAACCAGTGAAAAGTCACTTGTATACTTAATTTTTTTCCTTTACAGGTACTAAACAAATTTGATGTTTTTTTCACGGGTGTCTTCACAATAGAACTGTTACTGAAATTGATTTCATATGGCTTCGTGTTGCACGACGGAGCCTTCTGTAGATCTGCATTTAATCTTCTCGATTTACTTGTAGTCTGCGTCTCCTTAATATCAATGCAGTCCAGGTAAGTTTCTCGTAAAAATGTATTACGGACTGTACAATACTTAAAAACATTATATATAGGTAAACGAAGAGTTAAAGTGAACCAAAAATAAAAACTTGTACAGGGAGGTGGTTTGAATTTAACCATTTGGTCACACTGCCCCCCTTTAGCCTTTATTGCATTGTCCATTCGGACAGTCTTATTTAATTTTTCTGTCTTTTATCGGTTAGCCCGCCTTGAGCCACACAAATCGATGACCATCACATCGAATTAAATTAAATTTGAATTCATCGGTAAAAACTACAGAATCATTAACTTTGTCATTACGGTGAATATACTCTTTGGAATATAGAAAATGTTTCGCAATATTTCTTTTTGATCATTATGGCTTGTTTCGTAGTGTGTACGCTTTAAAATCGAATGAAAGCAAGAAGTTTCGAAGAGTTTGAAGATGGAGTTTTGCAATGCTAGCTTTCTCCTACTCTTTGGTGTAAGGCACAGCGGATATTTTGGGATGTACTGAACAATAATTTTTTAATATTATATTTAACTACCAGAGTCTGAAAATCTTCTCCATTTTTTCTTAAAAACTGAATCCGCAAAAAAGAAATTCGCCTACCAATCAATACATTTTGATCATACGCAAATAATAATAGACGTAAATTACTTAAGTGAGTTTTTGCCATTTTGCAAGTGTTAACATCAAAATTTATTCATTGTTAAATTTTTTATAAAAGTACGAAAAATATACAACATTATGCTACTCTTGGTTGCAGCTTAAATATTGAAAATAGAAATTCCTTCAAGACAAAACATCTCTCTGTACAATTTTTTTTGGGTCACTGTAGGTAATTTAGAACTGTAAGGAATGGAATGAAATTGGACAGTTCTAATCATTTTTATGAATTCAGTTCTTTTGGTTTATAATGGAAAAAATTAAAATCTTTTTTCCTCGTGCATATTGTGTATATCGGTCCCAGCATATTCAAGGGCCAAGTTCCCGTTTGCTGGTCAAAGGTACAAATATGTATATAGTATAACTGAAAAATTCTAATTTATATCTGAAACTAAATTGCGAAACCCTCTTTCTTTTACATTACATTTTAAAACTAAATGAATTGTTTTTCGTTTTTATTCACAGTTCGAATGCGATTTCATTCGTGAAAATATTAAGAGTACTTCGCGTTTTAAGGCCTCTGCGTGCCATTAATCGTGCCAAAGGACTCAAGGTAAGGAAAAAGTTACTATTAATATTGAATTGAATATTATTCCATAGTTATATAACATGTTGAGTTATGTTTAACAATTAAATTACAAGACTAGCAATACATATAAAATACTTTATTATTATTCAGATTATTAGTCGTTAAAAAATAAATATATATAATATGATTTTTGGAACGCATTGGCTAAACCTAAGCAAATTTGCTTGTTTCTATTTAATATCATTAAGCTCTTGGTATGCATACATATATATGTTTATTTATTTATATATTTAATACTATTATTTTTATAAAGACGCTACGCAAGTATATATTTAATTAAATAATTTTGCAAGGGGCTACTTGACCAAAAGAAATTATTATTATAATATGTGCCCAACAATATAGTGAACAGTATGCTGTTCAGCATTTAAGCCAGTCGAAGAGTAATATAAAAAGTAATTAATTTTATGCAATGCAATGAATATTAACTATTTCGTATTTAGTATATAACATGTACATATTGCTGTAATTTTATGTTATTTATTATTCAACGCGTATATATAATATATTGTAAAATGTTTTGTAGAGTAAGACAAGTTGACATATGTATGTAAGCTTTGAATTTTGTACTTAATAGCCCTGACAGACGAGCAAAATTAATACGTATTAAGCAACGTTAATGCGCATTGAAATATTATGGTGAAAGACGGCAGACTTGTGCATTTAGACAGCTAATTGTTAAATTTGTTTATTTATTTAAAAAAAGTGAAATAAAAATGAATAAGAGAAGTAATTAAAAGCAAAAGTAAAGAATATTGGAAAAATGGATAGCAAACTTTGCGTTGTTTATTTTCTGCCTTCTAAAAATATTAAAATTAGTTTTTGTTAATATACTTGCACATAATTTAATTAGCAATATAAAACTGTATATCTCTGATGCTGTAAACGCAAAGGAGGTTGCAGACTTCAATCGACATCTGTCAAAAAATAGCAAAAATCGGCCCTTTTTGTGCAGTGTTGTCTACTCAAATTTGGTAAGTTCAGCTAAATGCACGAAATTCTTGTGCATAAAAAATTTGCATTGACATGGGTCAAATGCGCAAGTAAATATAAATTAAGCCCGCTAATGCAAATTAGCGCTGTCGTCTGTCAGAGCTATTAGTGTATATTAATACTCTTAAATCGACATGTTTAACCATACTAATTTCATATTAATATATGGATCAGTATTAGTATTTTTATGATACATAGCTATTGAATTCAATTTAAAAGTTTTAATTGGAGTTTGAATTAATATTTGAAGATAAATAGTAGCTGTCATAGGCTTGAACTTAGGCTCATAAAATAAGTCATAACAGAAGAGAAGACTTCTTCTGCGCTTAATAATAAGGTATATATATACGATATGTTAATTTGTCATTTGAGCCATTAAATATTACAAAAATTCTTGATTAAATAAATATTTTATAACGAATACTAGCCGAATTTGTATAAAATTTAACACGCAAATTTTGGTGCTACTTTTGAATAACAAGATTTTTGCAAACAGCGCCTAATGATAACGAGCAGAGAACTGATTAACAGATGATGTACAACGGTTACTTGATTAGTCTGTCCGCCTGGATATAATTTAATATTAACAAGTAAGGAAGGAATAAGTTCGGGTGCAATTTGCAAGAATCAAAACCAAGAAATACTTTAAGGTGCAAACCGTCAATCAGAAGCAATTATATGTATTTTTTTTTGTTTGAATTACTTGCTATACGAATTTAAAGTATAATATTAGTAGTAGTACATTCAGTATATATATATATATATATATATATTCTATCAAAATGTATTTGATTCCGCAATCGACTGCTGCGTAGTGGACTTAGCTTTCAACTTTATTTCTACATTGACTCCTCCCCAGTACCCCAGTGACACCTCGCTTATTATTATTATGATGCATCTCGACAGGAAAAATATTATTTGAAGGTACGCTGTAATAGTAAGTAGGCAGGAATAGTAGTAGGCAAATACATTTGTGAGCTTATTGTATGTATGTTTACAGTGTAGATTTTAATGAGAATTGTTGGCATATAGTATGTGTAGCTATTTTTTTACTGAAATTAGATCAATCAGCACGTTATTTTAAAAATTGCATCATAACACAACATCATAACATAAAAGTTCTTGTTTATTATTGAAAATTTGAAAAAAAAGGCTGTCAGTGTTGCTTGATTTTTATTCACAAGAGATTAAAATTGGCCATTTTTTACAACGTTGCCAACGAAAATGCAGCTAACTTTCTAAAATTTTAAGGTTTAAATGGGAGTTACCAACGGAGTTATCCTCACTACTCCGTCTGACAATGCTATTATTGTGCCGCCTAACCTAGCAGCTTGAACGGCGGCCACGCGTCATTTTTCAAATAACTTACAATATTAAACTTTTGATATCTATCGAATGAAATGTTCAAATTGAATAATTCAAAAAGTTATCTAATGGTATTGAAGCACACATAAATATGAAGTCATTTGTTGTCGCGACATTTTTGTAGATATTATCTACAAATACGTAATACATTTTTTTCTTTTCTATAACCAAAAATTTTCGCAGCGCTCGCGATTTAAGATAGTTTTTTTGGTAAGTTTTTCACACCTTGGGTTACATTATTAGAGTTTTTGTATAGACTCCTAACTTTTTTGAAAATTTAATATAGCTTATGTGCACCACAGCTAGTATAGCTTCCCATCAGTGAAAGAATTTTTTATATCGGTCAATTAGTTTATTAGTATAGATTTTAAAGGCCACCTTCAGGAAGTAAGGGGTATCTTTCGTCCAAAAATGTTTAATAACAGACTATAATTTTTCAATTCTTAATTTTAAAAAATATGGGAACCTCAGTGTCCATTTTTCAAAAGCCAGCATAAACACTTTGTCTTCGCGCCACTGTGCCAGCAGCAAGTTCAGAAAAAAGTTTTGCCAGTGTCTGCAGGTGCGTTCAAGAAAAAATACGCCACGCGTTTTTTTTTTATTAAATTGAAGATTTGCCAAATACACGTACTCGCGTTTGGGAGGTGCATAGCAAGTTGGGTCACTGTTAGGTCTCCTTCAAGTAACCGTCAATCGTAGCATACTCTCCAGTCTCACTGTAAAAATTGCCTGGCCGTTTTCCTTATATATTTACATTTATAGCTATTATAAATCGCATGCGTCTGACAAAATCGTCTGCCCGTTTGGAGCAACGTTGTTTGTGATGCACAGCCTTCGATTCTCTGCACGTCCCCAAGTTCATGACATTTATTTTAAGTATCGTTTTTATTGAAAAATATATGTACAAAGTTCCCCAAATATTATCCGCCAATTCATATTCGTCAATTTTCCCATGGGAATTAGGGTTCCGGCTAACTCCATATCAAATTTTGTTAAAACCGCTCTAGCATTTCAGTCGGGAAGAAGTAACAAACAGACACACTCACATACTAAAATAGTAGTATAATTAAAAAAACATCCTTTGCTGAGAACTATGTGCATAAAATATTTCTTCTAGCTTATGCCCAAGTTAAGAAAGGGATTTTCAAATTTCAGGCTGGCTTTACATCTACTTATAAGTATATCGGTCAATATATAAAATATATTTAAGTGAATGTATAATCTTGGATATACTATAGTCTATTGGCGTAAATAGGGTGAAACGATTCACTAATTACCTCAGTCCCCATGTGCAATCTTTAATGATTACGTTACTCCAATGGACTTTAATGCCAAAAATTTTAAATCTTCGCTAGCCCTTAAATACTATATGCACATTGTTTTATTAATCTCAATCTGATTTTATCTCGAATTCAATGTAATCGGTGTACATCTTGGTCTAGCCCTCAGGTCGACTTTATCTTTATACTAAGTAATTGCTGCCCTTTGGTTAAGTTGATATCGTACATATCTCATAAATAAAATAATTGATTTATTTTTCACCTTTTCGTGTTTGAGTTGCTTACAAAATATTAAAAAACGACAATCTAACGATTAATATTTATGATTATCTCTATTCAGTATTCTATTAAAATGGCAGACCAGAGTTCTTTTTAGTTTTGTGACCTGCTAACTATCAGGTCTCAAATTTGAGGCAATATTTGGAGACTAACCATAGAGACTGTTTAGTGAATAGTAACTAGTCACAAATTAAAACTTTAGCTAAAAAGGCGTCAAATAGAGACTGATTACAGAATAAATCACATTATTTTAATTAGTATTATGTCGTTCAGTAATAAAAATTATATTTCAGCGAATTGTGTTAGTTACTTTGAATATTTTCCCTGCTTTGATCCTTGAGAATTGCGAGAATATAAAGTGCACAATTACAACCGAACTTAGCCCTTAATTCCTTCTTTATATATTTTACGAAAACATTTCAAACCTAAATTACTGTTGAAATCATTAATTTTAGTTAAACGGCTTGGCTTTTTGTGTCTTGCTTTATATTTGAGGATTTCAAAAAATAATATAATGGATACATTTTTGAAGATATGGCCAATTTAGTAGTTTCATTAAAATAAGGGTATACAAACTTCTTTGGTTGCGATTTTCATGCTAAAATTCTCTTTTCGGTGGTGTATACATACATACATACATATGTTATTTCTACATTCATTAATTCGCAAAGTAATGTTGGCTAAGTAAATAAATATACTTACAAAATATATAAAATAAAACTAAGAATAGAGCCATAACGCTCAAGCCTAAATAAGTATTATTTATATATGTAAGTAAAGTCTATGCAAATATATATTAATGTTCATATTATTATGGAGGTAGTGAATATGAACTAAAACATACAATTTTCATTTTGTCTTTATAAAATTATATTATTATAGCATGTAGTTCAATGTGTAATAGTGGCTGTCAAGACAATCGGAAATATTGTCTTAGTGACTTGCCTTCTGCAATTTATGTTTGCCGTAATAGGAGTCCAGTTGTTTAAGGTATGATTTTGTGAGATATTTGACATTTTGTTTTCCGTTCCTTATTTTAATTTAATTTTATCGAGTTGAAAAAGATATATCCTTTTGAAGAATTGTTTTGAAAATCATTTTAGAAAATCATCAGATTTACTATTTCAAAAATAAAAATAATAATGTGATTATGAAAGCTGAATTGCACTTGTGCCTCACAAGTATTATATAAGTATATGCATTACTCGAAAAAAGGTCCAGCTTTTTTTATTGAAGATCATCATTTTTAAGAAGAGCGTTTAAATAAAAAGAATATCGGTTGAATAATTCTACCATCGGTTGTTTATGCTTAGTTTAAGAAATAATTAAAAATGATATTTAATACTCAGATTACATATATAATATTATCATTTTAAAAAGCACGCCGTTTTAATTTGTTAAAAAGGTTGATAACTGATGGTATCAAAATTTAATGTAAAACGTTTGTATATACACATAAATCTAAAAATAATATAGTAATACTTTTCATAAAGAATCAATTATAAGTTCAAAAATAGTACGCCTTTTATCATAATTTTGTTATGCATATCAGAAGGCTCCCCTGCTGAAAGTTTTTAGATTTCGAATATAATAAAATTTAATAACTGGAAACTGTGGCAAAATATTAGTTAATCCGCATTGAAACATTTATGAAGCGATGGGGAAGCCGATGTCTTCAATTAATCATAGTTTACCGCAGATACGCAAAAAGTACTTGCTTCGTGTTGGTCTTCAAAGCAAAAATATTTTCAATATCACATTTAAGTAGGGATTATGTGTTATTGCTTGTATACGAAGAGTGACTTCCAGTTATTATTTTTAATGGAGTGTATATTATACTTGCTTTACATCCATATGTTTTTCTTTCGCTTATATTTAAGTTTCAGTGCATTATATTAAATATACCAGCAGTTGTTTGCTTACGTTTATTCTCAATATTAAATAAAATTATTTTAACTACCTTGACATAACTATTAACAACTTTTTTTGAGATTTGCTTAATCTTATAATTTGCTGCTTTTAATCATCATCTTATACTTATGTAATAAAGGAGTTAAAACTTTAAGATGTGTTTAATAAAATCATTTTTTTAGGAGAAATACCTCCCCTTGCGTGTACAAATATACACACTTATGTATGTACATATATAAAAAGCTTAAATGTCTCCCCTAAATATTCCGAAATATATTTATATTAATTCTAATATATTTATATTTTAATAACGTTTATGTGAAAGGTACTACTTATATATGTTTTCTGTTACTTACTTGAAACTTGAAAATTATTTACTTCTATCTTTTCTTACAATTAGATAATGCATGACACAGAAATAATGACAGACTAAATAAAGGATTGAAATGTAAAGAGTACAAAAATTTAATAAAGGCTCTGCTACTTAATTTATTTTGGTTATTTTATAAAGAATTAGTTTACGTTTTCAAATCTCGAAGTATAATTTAAAATTAAAATTAGTTAGTTTTTGTTTCAATGCGTGAGTAGAAACAGGTGCAAAATTTCTGTACATTTAGTAATATTAAATTTCAATACAGGGGGATGTAAAGTAAGAGTAATTTGACGTGTTTGACGTATGCCAAACATATGAGGAGTTCGCTAGCTTAAGAATTGTTTTATCAACTGGCGGCAGCTACTAATATAATATTGTATTGCGTATAGGAAATGGTGAACATTTCTCTGTTTTCAATTTTTGAGAATATTGTTGAAAGTAATTGCCTGCATTGCTCAAAAGAATTTTATGTAAATCGTTTGGACACAATTTGATAAAATATTTGTTTAATCTTATTAATACCTTATAATATTTTTAATGCTACTTCAATGTAAAAACTTTGTACAAACGTTCGCAAATAAATCAAAAAAGTATAGACATTTCCTTTTAAAATATTTAACCTATTTATATACCCAAACTTGCTTATTAATAATGGTGGTATTGAATTGTTGGACGAATTTGACATTTCCATATGAAATACAATTAGATGGTAGTAATACCTACATAATGCACCAAAAATTGCAAATATAATATTATATTTGCTTATTGCAGCTATTATTATACAATGACCCTATACTTCAGAATATTTGAGGTTTGCGCACAAAATAAACCTCGATGTTTGAAGCCTTATCTTACAAATAACCAATTCTAGATAAATATGTAGTTATCCCTTTATATTTATTGGCCGCGGAAAAATTCAAAAAAAGTGATTTGTTCGTGTTGACCTTGACGTAATTCTCCTATTGGGCATTCATTTGAACATAATCAGTCCTTAAAAGTTTATAGAAAAAACTTATATACATAGTTACCAAACACTGAATAGAAGTTTATAGGGCTTGCAACTCCACTCGGTTGATTTGAAGTTAAAATAATACAACTTCGAACCTACCAACCTCTTTTTCGTATTAAGAACTTCAGTAGAAGTTTCATTAATGTTGCTTACCTAAAAAGATAAGATTAGACAGCTGAATAAGTAGTAGAGAATTTGTAACAGAAAAATTAAATCAACTCAGCTATTGCTCACTCAATGATAAATATTAAACTATATATTTCTTTGATTTATATACAATGGCGGAAATGTTGGGATAAAAACTGATATACTGTGCGTATGAAAAAGCTCCCGTGATCACTCAAATTTATTGAACTTCCTGAAATCATGCGTAATTCTCCGTTTCATCGCTGACGGTCATTGCAGGAAATTGTAATGACATAAAAATGTTAAACTTCGACAACACTTCAACCAAATATTTTTTCCGGATTAAATTGATATCGATAATACCGACTTTCAAAATATGATGCAGTTGAGTTAAAACTCGTAATATGGACTTTAATGTTATGTCTAATGTCCAAAGTTAGAGGTCTTTTTACGTATATATAGTATTATCGTATCGTATTCTACAGAGATTAAAATCGTTCAAATAATCAAAACAAATCGTAGTTGGGCAATAATGTATGTATATATATATAGTGTATGTACATATATATATATATATAGTATATGTATAGTATATATATAAATTTGATCCACACAAGTTAGCCCCACGCACACTCCTTTTCTTCAGTTTAACAAAATATTCTTGAGTACTATCCTTATTATTATTTATAATATTATTGATATTAACATACATAAAAAACTGTAAAAAGAGGTTATTTGAATTACATTTATCGATCAATGATAAATGTGATTTATCATTTTTTGATATAAGATTTCGATCACACTTAGCAGCGCTAAACATGCTATAAGAGCATATGAATGAATTAACGCATTTAAATGTTAAATTTCTTTTTACATTATCAATAATCTCCTTGAAATAATATGTATTGTGTGTTATGAAACTACTAAGACTCGTATTTTTCTTTGTAAATTATGCAATATATACGTTCCTTATGTTATATTTAATAATTTGTAAGTAATACCCTAAATAATTTTAGATATAGTATAGATATATGTAATAATGCCTCTCCATAATTATAACGTCCTTTTTCTTTTCTTTTTTCGTTTCTTTCCATATACTTACATGCACTTACAACTTAAAATAATGTTTATTATAAACCATGAAACAAACAACCACGATGATATAAATACATATTTACATAAAAACTATAATGAACATTTTATTATTATACATGATACTGAAAATTCGATTGTTTTAATGGTTCGGAACATGTCGACATACAAAAATTTTTTCTGCGCTACTGACTCCACTTCCTTTCATCGTTATCAACTTTTTGTTTGATTACTCATGGCTTTTTATGAATTACTCATCGCTTTTATCGCCGCGATCATTACATAATTAATCAATTTATACATATGTACCTAAAATAATAAAAATATAAAATAATCTATAATAAATTATTCATAAATAACATAATGTATAAATTTAAAAATATATTATTCTGTAATTATCACTCATACTTAATCAGTATGTTGTAAAATGTGTTGTTGTCGCGATAAAAACAATTGGTAACATTATGCTAGTTACCTATTTGCTACAATTTATGTTTGCTGTCATTGGAGTGCAACTTTTTAAGGTAACTTTGTTATGATCACAAAAATGTTTTCTCATAGACAAGAAGTCGGGTCTATCTTTTTTTGTACATACATATGCATATTAGGGTGGGCCAAAAAAGGAATGTTTTTTCGCTTGGTACCCTTTTGTTAATAGACTTCTCTAAGAAAGGCTCTGTAAACATGAGCTCTTAATTGTAACGGAAAGGTTTTTTATGTTTTCAAAGGAAAATTCACAGGAAGTATAACTTAATTCTACTTATGTACCTTGTACGCAGACTTTTTCTTATGGATTTTCTTTTCGTCTGTATATTTTGTTTTATTTATATGTTTTTGTCAGCAATTTAATAACTTTTATTTTCATAAACCTACACCTATTTAATATCCTTTAATCAATATCAAATGAATTGTTTTTTGTAAAAAAATATATAAAGTTATTTTTGTAGCTTGATGAATTTCCATAACTATATTTCGATCCCTGGCGAAGTCGATCAGCCTCAACCTATTTGGGGATGTTTCATGGAATCTTAATTTATAGACCGTTGTTGTAAAGAAGGCTTTACTTACCCTGGCGTAAAGTGGGCTCCAAGAGCCCTTTGAAGACATCTGTGGTCACATCGTCCTTCTCTTCCATTGGGACACGGGAGCAAATCAGCGCTATGTTCGTGATCGTGGTTAGACGTTCATCCACCAGGGTGAATGGCAGGACTCGATTGAGTTTTTCTGTCACCACGAACCCCGAATTCGCGCTCCTATGTAAATGTCTACCTACTATTCTCAGTCCTTGTCCCGTCCATCGCACTTCTTTAACGGCGCTGATGTCAGTCGGCTGGGCAGCGTTACCTTCACAATTAAAAGGCTGGACATTGTAGGTGCAATCCCTTAAATCGTAATCCTTAATACGTTTGCAGCGGTCGTCAATTAAAAGGGGCTCTTTTGTTCTTTTTTTGTGGATGTTTTTGTACGGACGTTTTTTGG